AATTCGTCTCTGTATTCTTGCAGAAGTAAACTTCGATGAAATGTAGGAATCAACGAGTCAAATCACTTCATTGTTGATATATGCAGTTATGCGAATTGATTTTTGTAAGATAATCATGAAGCAGTTATTTTGGATACCTAATTAATCGGTAAATAGTAGAACTATTAAGCATCCTTATCTCAATTGCAGCGCCGATCTTACTGATCGAAAACTTTACCAGATCAGGGACATAGAATAAGTCTCTACTTATTTTTTGTTCATATTGAGACAAAAAGACAGCAATAGAATACTAAGAGTTAATTTATTTCTTTACTATGAGCATATAACTGTGACCATAAAAAAACAGCGGTTGAATCGTTAAACTTGTGATAGCTTCGAAATAGGTAATTTCTGTTTTATATCCTTTATCAAGATGAATAAAGGAGTCATTGAAATGAAAAATATAATCGATTATATTGTCGTCATAATGTGCAGACCCTTTAAGTTTAGACTTGATCACAAAATTTACTGCATATTGTAAAAACGAAGAACAAGTGACTGATAACAATCGTTAAATTTGAAGTATGATTTACGAATATCATCAAGTTGTCAATAGTTTTATTTTCGGCACATTGGTAGATATTTGGGCTGGACAGAATCGATCCAAATATTAGAAGAAAGGATGTCTATCAGGGAATACAAATTAAAATGCACTAGCAAAATATACAAATTCTGTCACTCGAGGAAAGAAAACTGGAACAGATAGGCTTGAATAAAGTTTTAATCTGCTCAGTTTTTAGATATTTCCAATGATGAACATGATATAATTTTTTCTGCTTAGTTTCACAAGAAAATAAAATCGTCTTAAGTTGACGTTGGGCTCGCTCAAACTTCATTTTTCATAATTTCCAACTTTTGCCTTATTTCATTCGAAATTATTTTGTTATATTCTCTACCAGGATTAGAAACTCTTATGCTTCATCAAGACTACCACCAAATGGGCTATTATTTGGCTTTGAGTACGTAAATTGCGCCAAAAATTCAATGTCTCAATTTAAAAATGAGCTATATTGTACATCCTTACATTATTTTCTTAGAGCAGCAGTTTTAAAAATGTTGATTGAATGAAGTCGCATCTGATATGTATAGATCTGGGCTATAATTTCAATGTTTTTTACATATCTATATTAATTAATTCAGAGATTTTCATTAGATCTTCATGAGATTTCTGGGACTTCCATGGACTTTCTGTGATTGCCATTGAATTGCTGGAATTGCCATATAATTGAAGGGATTTCAACGGAATTGCCAGAATTTTCATAGAATTGACAACCCTAGCAACCCGCCCATTTCCTCCTTGCTACGATATAGGTGATATTCATACTCTAGTGGAATTTCCAGAGTCTTTTCGACGTCTTTTTGTAAGTTCGTTCTTCACATATCGTGCAACCCGTGTTCATAACTATGTTCTTGTTTATCATGTGATAATTTTTATTTTTATTTTTTGTTCTTCTCTTGATACTACTTGTACTGCTAGGGTCTTAAGATCATCAGTTAAAAGCAAAAGTAAAAAAAAAGATCCATCAACATTTTTTCTTAGAAATAATCGTATGAAAAAATAAAATATAAAAAATTATCAATTAAATAAAATGAAAATGAACAATCATTTATCTTGATATAATCTTTAATTTTACTAATAAAAAAATTCATATCATGTTAGGATCTATCGTATTAAATCTGAAGAAAATCAAATAATTCAAGTTAAATTGGTTGATATATATATATTAATGATGTTTGCAATCGACATCTATTACCTTCGAATTTTTTATTCGAAGATAATCAATTATAATTATGATGAAAATTTCAAACTAGATCATTTATCTATAGCAATTTTTTTAAAATAATTCTTTTCACTATAAATAGAATAACATAAACTTAATCATGATAATATATACTACAAAATAAAGAAAAAAAACAGCCTATTACTCTTAATCTAAACATAGATTTATCAATATATATATTTCATTAACAATTACAATATGAATAATTAAAATCCATTGAGATTTGTCGAATAATAATAATAAAATGCTTGAAAACAAAATATTTATTAATTAACTTGTCTGATAGTGATGGATTATAAGAAATAGATAGATATAACATTTGAAGTCAATAAATTTGTTTTAATTAGTCTTTTCCAATCGATGAACAATTTTGAAAATAAAAACAAAACTTCTTTATTCTTTTATTAATCAAGACAATGGATCTTATATCTCAATTGCTTAGTATATTCATGTAAGGTGATGATGAGAATGATGTCTCAAGAATCAAATCGATATATATCGATAAATAATGTAATTAATAATAAATTTATTCTTTTCTTTGAAATAACTGAATATGTTAATAAATCTTTCTATTAAAAGTGATGCTTTATAATAAAAATAATTTTCAATGTACCTGATAGAATAGACTAACCGATAGAATAAAATAGTTACTTTTAAACATCATTACTTCCAATAAAGATCTACCTTGTGATTAATGGCTCTATCCTCAATGTCAATAGAGATTTAAAGCAATCATAATATATATTCTTTTGATTTTTTTTTCTCATCATATTTAATTTCAATGACATTATAATTAGTAAATTGTAAAAGCGAAATTCAGTGATAATAATCATCAATTATTTATCTTGTTTATAAATAGACATAATATAGTCAATGATCTCTATGGTTCTTTTTAATTTAGAATTTTATTAAATAAAAAAAGAAAAGAATAAATCAGTTAGAATTCAATTTCTCTTATAATATATGTAAACGATTTTATGCAAATAAATATTTTTGTAATAATAGAAGATAAGAAGATTAAAAGTAAAATAAATCAATAAAAAAGAAAAGAAAAAATTTATACATATTGTTTAGTATGTTAATATCACCAGTAGATAATTAGAAAGAAAAAAAAATTATGTTGTTGATGATGATTGAGTTGATGATGATGATGATGAATGAGAATGAATAGATAAATGACATAATTGTCGATTTTTAGTTTGTGCAGCTCGATCACGTTGTCGCCGATTTTTAAACCAATTAGCAACTTGTATTGCTGATAATCCAGTTGATTGTGCAAGTTGACGTTTTTTTAATGGATTTGGATACGGATCTTCTAAATAATATTCTCGTAATAATGAACGTGTTCCTTCTTTAAAACAATGACTTTTTTCTTCTCCATCCCATATTGTAGGTGGATATGGATATTTTTTTCTTACACGATATTTATCAACCTAACATCAAAATAAATAATAATATTTCATATATATGGGCGTTAGCAGCCGGCATGATACCCCATAGGAAATAATATTATTTCAGGGAAGAGCATATAATGAATTTTATACCAAATGAAAGCTCGTCAAAAATGGGATTTATTGGTACTAAATAGTAAGGGCTTTGTGAACTTTATAATGTCGAAATTAAGAAATTTGAGAAATTTCATACATTTTTGGCATAGAAAACCAAGATGCCAGTGTAACGAAATATTTTATTTGAGTATTGAGTCGTAGAGAAAATAATGAATTGAAATATAACGTTACGGATTCACCGATGTTTATTTGAATAAAAGTATGAACACACAATGAAGAATACAACGATATAAACGTAATAAATACGATATTGAAACGTGCA